CATGATGTATAATTGGCCTATCCACTGTTCACAGCAGCTGCAATATTCCGCTATAACCGACTCGCATGTTTGTCTGATAGCGCTATAACAATAACAGTATTTTATTTACAAAGGTAAAGAGGAGAAAAAAAACGGGGTTTTAGAATTGTGTCTTTATTATAACAGACTTCTCGTTATAAGTGGACTCCTCTGTATTCGATTTTGGTGGAGACACGCTCTAACATACCACATACATGTATTAAAAAAAGGTAAGAACTATACATTATACATGTACCAAATTAAATGACTTTACGCTTGTATGTATAAACACAAAAATTGAAAACAACACATCAGAACAATGACAAGAAAACAATTAACACACCAACAAATTAAAACACAACATAGAGGAAAATGAAAGAGAACCAGCAATATAAATAGTAGGCTATGCAAAGTACTTATATTCTTCACATGAAAATAAATCAACTCAATGTCAACGAGTGAGTAAGAGACGAAGTGAAGCGTAAGTGATAATAAACTTTCTTTCTAAAAGTTAAAAGTAAAGAGGTTCGGGTTTTAAAGTTTTTTTATTCCCCATTTTCCCCTGGTTTGTTTTTATTCCTCGTAGGTGTGTGCTTTCTTTTTCTTTTTTTTTTAAAATACACAAATCGCGGACCCAAAAATGCCAAAAATCGCGGTCACGATTCGCAGGTCGCGGCCGCGACAAACGCAGATGCCAGACAAAGCAAAAACCTGTAGTTTTATCAGTAGGAGTCATAAGAGGTTATTCAAGGACGTACCAACGTATTCAAATGGCAAGTGTTGGCGAGATAAAACAGATCTTTTCCTGAGCACCTTGTGAGACTTGAAAGAGACATGAAGATGAAGGATCTTCTCCTCGTCGCCATTCTTATCTCTGTGTCAGGGGAGGGAGACTTCAGTCCATGCATCAATGACAAATTCCAGTAACATTTACTCGTTATAATGTGGATGTGGCTGCCTGCATGCCTTTACCACCACAAGCTAGAGCTTCAGGCTTAGACTATCATGCAATGCTCTATTATAATATAGTTAAACTAGTTTTCTTGTGCATATCCCAATTTTTTGTTTCTTGTGTGTGTGTGTGTGTGTGTGTGTGTGTGTAAGTCAAGGTTTATTCGCTATTAACTTAGCATCGACAAAAATTTCTATATCACTTGCATGGGATAGAGCTATTATATTACTGAATCTATTGTTAATAATAATATACTATTCCTACCGGAGACAATCACAAGTCATCTCCTACTACTACTACTACTACTACTACTACTACTACTACTACTACTACTACTACTATTATTATTGTTATATTTATTGTTACCATTTATTAATGTATTAATTATTATTAATATTATTATTATTGTTATTATTATTATTAATTAATTAATTAATTTACTTATTTATCATTATTTTATCATTATTATTATTATATAGTAGTAGTACAATGTAGTAGTATTTTTATCATTTTTGTTTTTTGTGTTTCGCTAAGGATCTGTTTTCTAGGTTTCTATTGGTAAATGTGTGTGGTTGGCGGGTGCTCTGGTGTGGTGTTTCTTATCAAACCTCTATCCTCCTTATATCTCCATCTTTTCTTTATAATATGACCTACATGTAGTTGTGTTACAAGTGCCGTAAAATTCTGATTAAAACTTTAAAAAAAAATTCTGTCCCCCAGCTTGCATGCCTAGCCCGGAGGTGGGAGCCAACAAACTCGCTCGTGGTAGGCCTACTATCTGCCGACGTTTTCTAAACTTGGACTGTGTCTGTGCGGGGGGAAAGAGGAAGAGAGACAGCAACGGATGCATCTCCTGTCACTGTCCAGACCCCATTATTGGGACTTGGGGCACAAATTAATTGGGAAGAAATAAAAAGTTAAATTAGTCCTCTCCAACATGGCATCTATAAAATGAGACACCCCCCCCCCCCCCCCCCAAAAAAAAAGGAGAATGCTTGACTTCGTTTCAAGCTTTGGGGTAAGAAGGAAGGGAACTTTTTCTTATTTTCCCTCTTTAAAAAAAAAAAAAAGAAATCATGTTTGTCTTGAACGAGAAGAAAATAAAGGGAATTCACTTAGATTGTGTCTCTTTTCTTGAGTGGTTACACAAAAAACCCAAAACCCCCCTATGGGTTTTTTGGAACTTTTTTATACAACACCCCCCCCCCCCCCCAAAAACACCAAATTATTTCTCCCCCTT